TAAATTTTATGTATCCTTTTTCTCGAGTAAAAAAACTTTCTTTCTTTCAAGACGTTTAAATAGATCACACTCCGTGAAGTTATCCGCCACCGCCATCTTAAAGGCCACCATCGGTTTCAATAGACATTTCATTCCCCTCACCCTTTGTGCTTCAACCCAGCAGGGTTACGCTTTGTCCAGGTATTTCTTACGTCCATGGTAATATATGTACCTCAAAGTAATGTACTTACATGTTGAAATATTGATTGTAAAAAAAATCACTGCGCGGTCGCTAATCAAAAGTATATTTTCGAGAAAGATATTAACTTCCTGCGTGTCGAATGGCAAATTTATATAACGTAAAATATTTGTTGTATATTATTCATACGTGTCGACAGCTGGCAGAGATAGTAAAGAAATGTAAACGTTGATCGCGTTTTTCGAAAATAAGCACATTTTTTGTTTCAATAGAAAGATAAGTACATTCAACTGCATAATCAGCCAGTCGCGTCACCTTCCGATAAAAGGCTATCGCGCTCTTTAAGCTACGGGTCTCGATGTATCTCCTCAGAACGTATTATTCTTCCTACATTTAAGTCGCAACGCGAATGAAGGAATGTATTCTGTGCCTACATATACAATGACATTTTATCGAACTTTGTCTCCTTCCTAAAACACTAACACTGCAATGCTTTCGCATCGCCAACGAGTAGTTTCATTGTACTTACATTAATTTACATCACAGAAGACACGCGTATAAAAACAAAGAAAAGTGGAAGATCTTATCTGACCGAACTTTGGTAACATCTGCAGCGTGTGCACACGCGTACATGAGCACAAAGAGAGCGGTCATTTGTCATGTTCTTCGTGAATAACTTACACTTGAAAGATTCAGTTTCCCAGTGGGGGATCTTTCAAGAAACACCGCGGTACTCATCGCAGCATCCGCATACTGTAACAGATCTCTGCCCCCTCTCGTCTCGTATTTCACGAGGCATCTTTTTGCGCGTTCAATCTAAAATAATCCGGCAACAGGAAAGATCTAGGAGACCGGTTCAAACGATATGCGTTGCGTCGGCCCGTAGGAGATTGACACCGTTGTTGCCCTCCACATCCGTGGACTCGATCTGCTCCTTGAGTAACTCGAGCTCTCGTATTCCGGATACTGTGACTTCGTACTTATGCGCGACCAAGCTCCGATAAAAGTGTATCGCGAACGCGACGAAGATTATCAGTACCGGTATCAGCAGTACGCAGGCTGACCAGGCGGCCACATCCGAAAAGTCGTAGAACTTCACCCAGCAGAGTATCGCGATCTCCAGTAGAAACAGCAGGAGTCCAAGCAACGTGGAAAAGGCCCACGCAATCTCGATATACCAGTGTAAACGTTCGTGCGGCGACTCGTGCACGAGGCTTATACTGTGCAGATTGCAGACGGCCTCGATGTTCGGTAATATGCACGTGGATATCATCAGCGCCAGCATATGAACAGCTACTAAGAGAGTCGTGCACACGGCGAAGGCGATCAGCATTCCCTTGGGAACTTCTGTGTCCTTAGTCAACTGTACCTCCACCATGGCAACCTGCGTAGACAATGATCGATCATGGCTTTATCCCGGTTATCGTATATTATCGAGAATATATTAAAGATTCCAAGATTTTCTGCGACATCAAATTTGCGATCAAGAAAAAATAAAACTGAAAAAAAATATATATATATATATATATAATTTAAATTTTTGACAATCTAAATATTTGAATTTAAGCTCACATATTCCGAGGATATAAAGCATCTCTTCAACTCGCAAGAATTTTTTTCATTTCCGTTCAATTAATTCATGATGAATTCTATTAACATTCAAAATTGCGTTTCATCGTGTCTTGATTAATTGTTGAAAAATACGCGTATCTATTTATGAATAACCTTGAGACTATAAAAGAGTCGCAATAAAAAATTTATCGCTGAATTATCGCTTCCGTAGAAGGATTCATCTCGCGATGTTTTCTTACCATAGCGAAACCGGAAAGCAGGGCCGATGTTTTACTCGACGCCTTGAGTTTTGCGCGGCTTAGCTGTAGTTTTCTCCAAGACAGGTAACCCGGCGTGTGAAGGCCATCCCCTGCTTGCGACATCGTCGACTGGCGAACAGAACGAACGTAGGAATGGCAAATTAGTTCAAACTGGGGCAAAGAAACGCGATCGTAAAATAAAAGGAGGAACGCGCGACCGTGTTCTCGTCACACACCGGACTAAAGCGTCTGCGATATTAATTTTGCAATCGGGCGTAATTCGCCGATGAAAGCTTAAGCCAGAGTAAGAGAGAGAGAGAGAGGGACACATACCGAAGATCGATGGCAACGTCGGTGCTAATGGGAGCACTTGCCAAAAGTCCCGCGTAGGACAAAAAACCAATGGATGCTGAACGAAACAAATAATAACGAAAATTAATGAAACCATAGAAAAAAAAATACGGTTGGATGAGATAAAAGATCGACTACATACATCTTGCGGGAAGTCTGGCAAACATGAAAAGAGACAGACACATATACAGGCGCGAGCGTCTTTCAAAAAGCTGATGCATGCATTAATGAGGGAGACACGTGATTTACGCAATGTTTCATTTGCCGGAAGTATGTTGCTTAATTCGATTCGTAAATGGCGATCTTGAAATTTCCGATTGTCAGTGCGAATGAAAGATTGCAAATATAAGTTAAATTAAAAAAATATATATGTGTAAAATGCTAAATGTAAGAAATACGCAGAACAAAAAAATAGCTCGAACAGCATATTTCCATTACGAAGCGTAAAATATTCGCTTTTGTGTAGAAAAACTGATCTCGCAATCGACGAAATGCGATATACGCGTTCTCGAATATTTCCAATACTCGGCGATTCGCGTGACAATCTATTATACATCCAAGCACGATGATTGAAATTAATTATGAATGTAAATACATTAAATGATAAGATAATATCGGCATCTTCTCTCGCTGTAAATAGTCCAGCTTACGTCTTAATATGTGAAAATGGTGACTAGTAAATGAGATGAAGACACATTTGTCATACGATACCGATACCAGACTTTCGTTTGTTTAGTTAAAAAGAAATACGATTGACTTAATGTCAGTCTGTCTGTTATTTCGGCAACTTGATATACAAACAGTACTTTTAAGCATATCCTCGAGTAGTATCGCATCAAAGTATAAATTCCTCGGATTATCCTTTTGTCAAGTCTTTTGTGAACAATGAGCAGATGGTTACGCACATGATCAGCGAACAAACATACAGTATAGCAATAAATAGAAAGAGGAAGTATGTATGTATGTATGATAAGAGGAAAACAATCGTATCTTACGTCATATTTGTAGATAATCATACCGCTAATTGCCGTAATTTCCCAATGACTTAATGCAAATCTAAAAAAACATGCGACATTTTTTCATCGAAACAGGAACAGTTAATTGATTAACTAACTGAGTAACTATAAAATTAACAATTCGTAAATCGTAGCAAGCATATATCACAAACACAAATACATTTGTATGGAAAATATCTAAATTAGTCAAATACGTATATCAGTGTGTGCGTACATGATATTTAAGATATTTCACACACATTTATTTGATAAAAGTACTTTGTTTTAAATTACAAGAGTACAAGGATAATTCGCGACATGCAAATGAAAAAAAAAAAGTACGAGGGTATGATACTACGATGTTATCGTTATGAACGACATCCGGATAATTATCAGTACGTAACATCCAGAATGAAGCATTGAAAAACATGCGCGATTAATCGTGCGCTCAAAGCCAAATGTAACGACAGTATTCGAGTCGACAGATATAACTAAAGAATTTCAAAAAGATACGCGTCATCGAGACATTGAACGGAATTAAGCGCAATGAGGTTGATATGATATGGATGCATCGATGCTCAATTGATTAGTTGAATGATCAATGCGCTTACGTTGCTTTAAAGCAGCGGTTAAAGGCGCTATTATGGATTCGAAGAAAACGAAGTTATTATTCGTTAAAAATAATTCTATAAGTGTGTTTACGGAAATCTAGTCTAACATATAGTGTTATGATCATACTACTATCTTTTTCCAAACACTAGATAAAATTTTTTTAAATTGTATATAAAATAGAAATTGTGAAGTCGATTTTAATTTAATCTGTTTTTGCAGCAATAATTTTTGATATAAGTTTATAAATAATATGACACATTATTTTACATCTGCAATGAGAGATGATGCACAAAAAGTATTTGTATAAGCGGTTTGTAAAAATTTGCGTAAAAAAAAAAAAGGTAATTAGTTTACTGATTGATTCAGAAAAATAACATACGTCGATACAAAATAAAAATGTATATCTGAAATATGAAACTTAAATATGTTAATATCGATCTTGGGATCGAGAAGATGTATACCTTAAATATTCAAATCAGGTCTCCTGAATATCCACGGTAATAAAAGAATCACAGTCAATTGTCTCAAACCGACGACGACGACGAGTATGTACGTACTGAGAACGAGAATAGTAATAACACGAGGACGGAAAATGACACGGGATAAGAACACGTGCGGCAGAGAACGCAGAATATAGGGAGAGAATAAGACGCTTACGTCACGAGCCGCGCGCGTCGCGCGGAGAGGATGAGGAGAAAAGGATCCGCGATAAGGATCAGACGGGGAATAAATAGATGTGTACCGACCTGACAGTGGTGGTCGTGGAACGGCTTGTGAAAGCAGTGGCCGTCAGGGTTGCGCAGGTGTGCGTGCGCCACGTGTACGTGGATCGGCAGGCGCGAAGTGGGAAGCACCTCTCCGCCGCTCTGCGCGGCAAACACTGTATTGCGCCCGGTGCTGGTTGACCATACGGACATTAGGCTTGATCCTCGCGCGTTTCTGTCCGGAGCTGTAACAAAACGACGAATTAAATGTACAATGGCCTTCTTCTGGTCACGCGCTCGTCTACGTAAACGAGAAAAACAGCCGTTCAACAAACGTCAAAAAATGAGATATTAAAGAGAAGCGCAGTGTAAAATACGAGAAACGACACGTGCGCACATAACGTAGATATTAAGAGCTGATATTATCATCATCTTGTCTTTATATTTTATTTTATATAATATAATATTATAATATAATATATAATAAAATAAAATATAATTATAATATAATATATAATATGATATATTTTATTTTATATATAATATACAGGGTGTCTCGGAACTGGTGGTACAAGCAGGAAGGAGGTGATTCTATATGAAAAAATAAGTCGAAAATGTAGAATATTCTTTTATACGAGACTTTGTTTTTGAGAAAAACGACTTTAAATATTCGTCAGATATACGGTTGGTCTCGATCGAGCTCACTACACGTTACCTTTGCGCACATTTGTGTTTACAAACAATGTTGATATCAAAAGATACTTCGGGAATATATAATAAGTCAAGACGTGTTTACTTTGTGTTTTTAAAAGTTCGAAAGCTAAACTTATTTTTTGTTTCAATTGTTCGACACTTGTAACATCATCACGATACACACAAATATTTAAAATCGTTTTTCTTAAAAACAAAGCCTCGTATAAAAAAATGTTATTCTATATTTTCGACTTATTTTTCATATAGAATCACCTCCTTCCTATTCTGAATCCTAATAAATTTAATATTTCAATCAAGAATATTAAATTATATAATTGAAAGAAATACATTAAATTTTTCTGATCTAATAAATTTTCTTACATTAAATTAACCATATCTGACTTTTCTTCGATAAAATTTTATAATATTCTTCAAAAGAAAATATTTACTTTTTTTGAGTACATGATAATGAGTTTTTCTAAAATTTGTGACAAGTCTATTTTAAGACTATTATTAAGAAAATATTCTTTGTTAAAGATAACTGTTACTTAAAAAAAGTAAAGTAAACTGAGTAATCATTTTACTTAGCAATAGAATAATATTTTCCTGTGCGTATATTTTATTTTTGAAATTGTTTCAGACACACTAGATTAGTGGCTGGTAAGAGAAAGATAGAGAGCTATGTAAAATTTATATTAATCATTAATGAAAAAATATCGTGTAAATTATACTTTAGCTTTATTCATCTTTCAATTTACATTTTGTATTTAATATCTTCCGGTAAATTTATTAATATATATATTATTTATATATTAATTTAATATTTTATATATTGGATAATCTCTCTCTTTTATATTGTATTAATGTATATTATTCTTTATTTATTAAAACTTTTATGTTTTAATATTATTCGATTTTAGCTATGTAATAGAAAGTAATGCATACAGAGATCCTCTGAAAGAGAAATTCAAGAAAATTTCTCTTTATTTTAGATCGCATCAATCTTGATTGTTCTCATCTTCACTTCAACGAATCTCATGATGGCATTTAATAATGTAGGACAGTATAATAGGCGCTAAAGAAAGTGACATATAAAATTGTCGCTGACACGTCAGCGCTCCAATATGCAAACGTGATATTTCAATACTCTACAAAATTCGATTTCAAAATATCAATGTAAAACGATGCATAATAAATTATACTATTATTTATTAGTCGAAATGCATAAATAAAATGTCTTGTATTTTATGACGCGCCAAAAAAAATACAGCTAAAAAAGCGGATCTATCCTTAACTCATTTTATTTTTCCCCAGTTTGTGATTAATTTCGCCCGGTCTCGGGTTCGACGAGAACAATAAACAACGGAGATTCACTGACGCGATGTCGCGAAACGTGACACGCTGTTCGATTCGCTTTAACAAGCACGCTAATTGAACCACTCATGCGAGACGTACACATTGTCGGCCGAGAAGGATTTCATCTGTCAGTAGCCGGAGCGATCGAAAATCCGCACCGTGCGATGTAATAGAGGCCGGCGAACGGATGTAGAGTTCCTCAAGTGAGTTAGAGAACATTGAGATAATGATCTTTTTATTAACGATACCATCAGTTCTGAGATACCCTATATATCATATTATAAAAATTATATTATTTTATTTGCTTTTTATATTTTTTTATTTTATCTCATTTTTCTTAAGATATATAAAAGCACCCACACATTTAATATGTCTCATCTTATTTGATATATAGAAATATAAAAAAAATTATATAAGAAAAACAGATTTGATGTTTGAACCAATATTTTACGTCCATTCCTGTCGTCTTGTGAGTCAACATCTAAACATTATTGTAGTTTAGAAATACATAGATTTTATTGCGTCTTGAGGATTACAGTTTTAAACGCTGATTCATTTAAAACGGGTTTAGCAAATATTCTCTCGCATTATTCGCATTGCTGATGATAATCGCATAATCACCCTACTTTTCTCCGCGCGCCACAATGATGTAACGTTTAAATCTCTTTACAAACACACTTAGGGAGAATAATTGTCTCCATCTTTTCCGACCATATTTCAAGTCTAATTATTTTTCATTTTTTAACTCCCTACATTTATTAATCTTAGTAATAAAAAAGAGTAAAAATAGAGAGAAGAGGAGAGCGATAAAAATACAAAATAATTATAAAATATAAAATAATTAACGTCACAAAAATGTACGCACATAATAAATTTATCTTTTTTTTTTTGTCTTTTTTCCTTTCCTGCTTCTGTCACAATTTCATTCTCTCCTCCCTTTTTTTTTTAAGGATGTTTTGGCCGTACAATAGTAGCAAAAAACTGTCAAAATTAACAAAAAAAAAAGATATTTCTTACGTTTATACTGTTTGAAAAATCAAATGAATAAATTCAGATCATAAAAAAAATTAAAGCATCCCAAAATAATATGGTTTTTGATGTCTTCGTAAAAAAAAATAGTTGTAATTAATATTTTTCCTAATTTATGACAAAAACTTATATATTAATTTAATATTTTATATATTGGATAATCTCTCTCTTTTATATTGTATTAATGTATATTATTCTTTATTTATTAAAACTTTTATGTTTTAATATTATTCGATTTTAGCTATGTAATAGAAAGTAATGCATACAGAGATCCTCTGAAAGAGAAATTCAAGAAAATTTCTCTTTATTTTAGATCGCATCAATCTTGATTGTTCTCATCTTCACTTCAACGAATCTCATGATGGCATTTAATAATGTAGGACAGTATAATAGGCGCTAAAGAAAGTGACATATAAAATTGTCGCTGACACGTCAGCGCTCCAATATGCAAACGTGATATTTCAATACTCTACAAAATTCGATTTCAAAATATCAATGTAAAACGATGCATAATAAATTATACTATTATTTATTAGTCGAAATGCATAAATAAAATGTCTTGTATTTTATGACGCGCCAAAAAAAATACAGCTAAAAAAGCGGATCTATCCTTAACTCATTTTATTTTTCCCCAGTTTGTGATTAATTTCGCCCGGTCTCGGGTTCGACGAGAACAATAAACAACGGAGATTCACTGACGCGATGTCGCGAAACGTGACACGCTGTTCGATTCGCTTTAACAAGCACGCTAATTGAACCACTCATGCGAGACGTACACATTGTTGGCCGAGAAGGATTTCATCTGTCAGTAGCCGGAGCGATCGAAAATCCGCACCGTGCGATGTAATAGAGGCCGGCGAACGGATGTAGAGTTCCTCAAGTGAGTTAGAGAACATTGAGATAATGATCTTTTTATTAACGAATCGATCCATCATATATAATAGCAGTTGTTTTCGAAAATCTACTCGTCGTAGTAGAATCGTGTTTGAGAGAAAGAAATCTTTGTCCAAATTGATCGATCGAACTTTTTTTATTTCAACGAGATTTTCAAATTCGAGGAAGGAGCACCAAAAAAAGCGGCATACAAAATGACATAATAAATCAGATATATATACCTATATGCATATATAAATATATGTGCCTGTTGTCTTAACTCTTACTTAGAAACTCTTACTGACTTGAGGATGGCATGCCATGTGCGCGTCTCCATAAATTTATGTGTTCGCTGTCACGTCGAATATATTTTCTTGTAACGCGTGCAAGGTCATAAATGTGATGCATGCTTGCGGGAAGCGGTCTAAAGCCTCGTATAAAAAAATGTTATTCTATATTTTCGACTTATTTTTTTATATAGGATCACCTCCTTCCCGCTTGTACCATCAGTTCTGAGATACCCTATATATCATATTATAAAAATTATATTATTTTATTTGCTTTTTATATTTTTTTATTTTATCTCATTTTTCTTAAGATATATAAAAGCACCCACACATTTAATATGTCTCATCTTATTTGATATATAGAAATATAAAAAAAATTATATAAGAAAAACAGATTTGATGTTTGAACCAATATTTTACGTCCATTCCTGTCGTCTTGTGAGTCAACATCTAAACATTATTGTAGTTTAGAAATACATAGATTTTATTGCGTCTTGAGGATTACAGTTTTAAACGCTGATTCATTTAAAACGGGTTTAGCAAATATTCTCTCGCATTATTCGCATTGCTGATGATAATCGCATAATCACCCTACTTTTCTCCGCGCGCCACAATGATGTAACGTTTAAATCTCTTTACAAACACACTTAGGGAGAATAATTGTCTCCATCTTTTCCGACCATATTTCAAGTCTAATTATTTTTCATTTTTTAACTCCCTACATTTATTAATCTTAGTAATAAAAAAGAGTAAAAATAGAGAGAAGAGGAGAGCGATAAAAATACAAAATAATTATAAAATATAAAATAATTAACGTCACAAAAATGTACGCACATAATAAATTTATCTTTTTTTTTTTGTCTTTTTTCCTTTCCTGCTTCTGTCACAATTTCATTCTCTCCTCCCTTTTTTTTTTAAGGATGTTTTGGCCGTACAATAGTAGCAAAAAACTGTCAAAATTAACAAAAAAAAAAGATATTTCTTACGTTTATACTGTTTGAAAAATC